TGTGTGCATCATCTGCCACAGAGATAAGCTGATCCATACATTCCTCCGAGACCGCACTACATTCTTCAGGAAGCACGGAGTTGGTGGTGTTAGCTCTCCAAGTCAGTGTGCCCGTGGTCGCTGTGTTTGTAGAGTCACTTGCTTGTTCATGCTGCCACTGTCGGAGACGAGACGCCGTATGTTTCCGGATCAAGAGGAGGCTTGACAGAAGCGTCAAACGCCAAAAAAGTGCCATTTGCTCGAACGGGTGCCATGAAAGGTTGATTTGCGGAGTCAAGATCAGAAAGCGGGGATAATATGTATTTTTGAGAAATGTACGAAATCCATTTTCGATATGCCACATGTCTTGTACTTTGTTCTGTCAACCCAGCTTATAAGTGCAACATAATTTTTCGTGTTCGTTGAGGCGGAAAATGCGCCTGGAAGAAGGTTCGTCGTGTTCGTGTGAGTGTTGCACCTGGCTACGGGCACGTCATGCAAAGTGATCCACACCACTTATGCAGAGCTGCCAGCGGCCTTGATCCCGCACCCGAAAGAAATTCAGAATGTAACCTCCTGTCTTCCTTAATTACCCATGAGTACTAGTAGTATTGCCATTATTTCTTTGCGAGATATCCAAAATGCGAGATATCCCCAGTAAGACGGTTCCATAACGCAAGCGTTTCCCTCATTGAAAAACAATTGCGGAGACCACCATCAAATAAAGCCAATCTATTCTTGTAAAATAGTTCCGATGTCTCAAGGCTCGCAATGCAAAAGCGAATCAAGCAAGAAAACTTAAACATTGACAGGACTGACGTGCGTCTGACGTCTGACTATATACATATATATATATATATATCAGTAGGCTCAGCAGGCTCGGCCTCTGCGTACAAGAAGAGCTAAATTGTCGCGCGTCTCAGCGGTATGTATTTAGGAAGTGCAACTTCAAGTTGCAGCGGCGGAGCGGAGACTCGCGAAACGGATCGAGAGGTTATGTTAAAACGTGGGTCTACACTCCTTCAGCGAACGCTTTCGCGCGCTACAAGAGAATATGGGCAATGACCCCGGAAAGTGTTTTTTGCATTCCCGGGTGAAATCTGTTAAGAATTCAGAGACAAAAGGACAAGATCTGTGCAAGTGTCTCTCTCGCGATTGTTTCTTTATCACGTAGCGCGCAGTCGTCGGCTGATAGACTCTTAGGTCATTCAAGCCATCGGCAGAAGTCCCACCCTCTGTTGCCATCCGTCCCATTATTTGTATAGTAATTAACCATACTTGACGGTACCCGCAAGATAAAAAAAGATAGAGTAAGTACCTTGCTAGATGATCTCTAAGGATCTCCCCTAACCTCCCTGGTGGCACAGTTGCCGGTGACGCATACTATCTTATTGCTGATTCGATCCGCTCCCAGATCGAGAAACATCACTCTATCATGGATGACCTGACAACCCGTTTTTAACAGCGATGGTCGCGATATCCGCTCACCAAAAAAAGTGTACGAGGATGGAATTGGTGATGGTCTGCGACTCGAGACAATGTCGATTTGTGCTATGGTTATGGCACACTTCGTAGGGAATGATAACCTTGAACGCCAGGCAAAGGCGACATACGTCTTCGTCAGGCGCTCTCCTCAAATGGATGCTTATGTTGTCGTCAGCACGCTTTGTTGACTCTTCTAGCGCACCAACCAACGCTCCCCTCCCCTTCCTTCTCATGAATGTAGGATCATCGTCTTTTACTCATGCCCGGAGTTCAAGTCAGTTAAAAGTTATATTGGGCAGCTGCATGGACGACACAGAGGCAGTTGTGATGAAGCGAAAGCCCCGCAATCAGACCAAAGCTTTCAAGATACTCGGCAAATTTTTGTCAGGAAGCTCTTCGGGTGTTTCCGAGAAACAGGTTGGTTTGCAAATATCTGGCAACACAGGCTGGGCGATCTAGTGCTTCACGTTCGCAAACATAAACCTGATTCACAGCTTCCACCCGACACGCTTCACCAGCTCCAAACGATACGCAATGCGTTGGAGAGAATAAAATCCAATCACGGCAAACTCAGTAAGTAGACTTAGCCTTACATAGATGGCCACGAGGACGATAGTGCGAGCGCGGCTTTCGGTGTAAGACCAGAAGCATAGACGAAGCACACCATACGAGTAGAAGCGAGAACAAGGAAATAAAAGATCATAAATACATGCACCAAATCATTGCTTCATAGAAACGGTGAATTCTCGGTCAATCATGTCTACATCCTGTCGAATATACAATATTTTCCCAATGAGGGGAAAATACCTCCATTTGGGTCGAGATTTTTTTTTTCTTTCCCCCACCGTCTTGAGCTGCACCTTTTTATCTCAAACATAGGCGGGCTGTGGCTACTTCATTAGCCCACTTTTGACACTACTCGTGTTCGAACATCCTAGGGTGCCAATCGTTTGGGATCTCGAGGGAAAAGGCTTGTCTTCCTGATGTTCTTCAGGCCCAGGTAGAGCATCACAACCCTCTCGAGACCTATGCCCCCTCCCCCATGCGGCAGCGCCCCGTGTCGAAAGGCATCCATGTATGTCCGCAGCGTCTCCCGAGGCACTCCCATGGCATCGATGCGCTCCCCCAGGAGCTCCACGTCATGGATCCGTTGGGCCCCTGACACGATCTCCTCGCCTCGAATGAACATGTCGAAGGAATTGGAGAGCGTGGGGTCGTCCGGACACGGCATCGTGTAGAAGGGCCGCACAGAGAGCGGGTACCGGTCCATCATGTAGAAGTCCGTCTTATACTTCTCCTTCACTATCCTGCCCAGCGCCTTCTCCTTCTCCGTGTCCAGGTCCTCCATCTCGCTGGCGTCATAGCCAGCTTCTCGAAGGAGAGCCACCCCCTCCGCAAACGACAGCCGAAGAGAGGGTCGGCAAAATTGAAGGGGCTCGAAGGGATGCTGTTTGTTGACAGCCTGCAGCTCAGCCGCGAAGCGAGTGGCGAGGTTGTCAAAGATATAAATGAAGAGGTCGGAGAATAACTCGAGGACTTCGTAGTAATGCTCGTGGATGGCCATCTCCAAGTCAAGGCCCGTGAACTCGCACAGATGCCGGTGCGTGAAGCTTTTCTCCGCTCTAAAGACTGGACCCACCTCGAAGACCTTCTCGAACCCTCCGCACGCACAGGCCATTTGCTTATAGAGCTGCGGAGACTGCGCCAAGCACCCACTTTGGTCGAAGTAGGTGAGCGTGAAAACCGAGGATCCTGACTCGGAGGCACCGCCCAGCAGCTTGGGCGTGTGGATCTCCACGAAGCCGCGCTCGGAGAGGAATTCCCGGAAGAGCTGAGAAACGCCGTGCTGAATACGGAAGATGGCTTGATTGGCTGCCGTCCTTGTATCTATCCACCTGTAGTTCAGCCTGTTGTCCATCCCTACCGAGGGCATCTCCGGGTCCTCGCTCGCCTCGGGCCGGGAGGCGTCTTCGAGCTGGAAGGGCAAGACGTTCTCGGCAGCGCTGACCACGTACAGCTCATCGACCTGCACTTCCACCAGCCTGGCCGTTGCGCTCTCCACGGGCTCTCTAGGCTCTTTCAAGGTCCCGACCAGGTCGATGACGGACTCCCGGGGCACCGCCCCCGCGAACTTGACCATGCCCTTGTCCACCCCCGGGCCCTGGTAGACAACTGCCTGCACCGTTGCGATGCCTTGTCGGAGTAGTAGGAAGACCCCCTTCCCTACGGCACGAGAGGTGTGCAGCCGGCCACGGAGAAGCACCCGCTGCCCAGCCCGCGAGGGCGAGAGGCCGTCGATGCGGCCCCAGACCCTGTCAGTCATGCCAAGCGACTGGACCATAGGCAAGTTCCCGTACTTTGCGCTTTCAAGGCTTGGCACCGATGGAGCAGAGCCACTATTCGAGGTTGCAGCATCCGTGGCGTTTCCCCCGCTATTTGAGGCCGTGGAAGTAGCCTGATCCACACCCCCGGCGGCTCGTTTCGCAGCCCTGGCCTCTTTGGCCGCTTTACGAGGGTCCACTTTTAATCCACACGCAGGTGCGCCATCAGTTTTCTTTGCTTCCCCCTTCTTCTTGCTCGAAGATGGAGGCGGCCCAAAGTCTTCGCCTGTTGTCTCTTTGTACTTCGCCTTCAGCTCCTGCGAGGGAGTTTCAAGAAAGAAGAGAGTAATTATGGTTCTTGGATCTGGCTCTCTGACGAGACAAGAATGCCGTTGCTTAATACTTTCTTTTGAATGGAAATGCAACACATAATGATGTGATATCGTGAGACTGTGTACATTGATTACGCTGGCAAAAATGTGGCATAGCATATGAGAGATAATACGAAGCTCGCATCGAACTCACATTTAAGAGCGCAACCTGAGCCAGAATTGTATCCTTTTCCGATTTTTCAGCTTTGAGCTGCCGGATTTCGTCCCCTTTTGCCTTGATGAGCGCTTCAATTTCCTCCTTGCTGGCCATTGTCGAATATCACCTAATATGGAAAACCAGTGCAATAACTACTGATGGTACAAAGGTACTGACATGACATGTCGAGTGATCGTCCCTCAAAAGATGAAATCCACAAAAGTGGGCACAGAAAAGAATTAGTGGCTAACACCGAGCATAACATCGTTGCAGACGCTTGCAAATATTTCACTTGACGGGTGGTGTGGTCGATGGTGGCGCTAGCTCTCTGGGAGACGGCACGGCGAGGATTTGGCTACCGCTCACTCGGACCGGACGGCCCATTAAAAGCAGGGGGCCGCATCTGTTTTTCTGAGGCATGACGCACGATAAGACTGCTGCCAATACCTGGGCCTGATCAAGTCGAGGAAGATTATCTTTATGGACTCATCGAGGAGAGAAGGGTGGAAAAAATGAGATGCATCTCCATTGCCTCTGGTAGAATATGACACTACAGCAGTAAAACGTGCTTCCTTTCCATGGCACCAGTCCAACACCGGCCGGCTATTTCAATCACAGCTTCGGGTTCTGTTCATTTCCCGTGAAGAAAACTGTGTGTCTTAATCTTTGAAGTAAGAGCAAATCATACGAAAGGACCCTTTCTTGGCTATTAATTTCCTTCTTCCTGTTTCACTTCAGGCATTCTTCAGTCTTGTTGTTCTCTATCTATATCTAAATTTTCGTCCGCTGATCTTACAGCCCTTGATTCTTCCTGATAATCTGTCAAAGGTACCGTATTCTCTCCCACGTCTGCTACCCTAGGCACACCACCCTCACTCCCCTGCCGCCCTCTTCGACGTCTGGCCATTTCCTCGCGTTGCTCTGCCCGAAGGCGCATTACGTACAAGAATGCGGAGGACAGGGCCACAATTAGCAGAGTGTCCAATGCGGACAGCATTTCTAAAATATGAGGCCAGCTCCATGTCTCCTCTTCCTTGCCGACTCCTATGGATGCTCCAGCACGCCCTGCGCCGCCCCCCCAACTGGCTGGCATATCGGCCCACACCTGTCGCCATTGCTCCTTTTTCCTCTCCCAGGCCCTCGCCAGCTTTGCTAAGACCGAGTGTTCCACGAGGACACTCACCCCGGGGGCCGTCGTCACGATCGGCGACTCCCTCAGCGATTGATCCTCCCCCATGAGCCACCAGTGGAGGTAGAGCCCCGCCAGCGCCAGGTTCACGGGCCACTTGGCGTCCGGGTAGGCTTCCGCAGAGGCGTCAAGAAATCGCTTGGCCAGGTGGAAGTCTTGCTTCAGCCCTACACCGTACTGGTGCATGAGCCCCAGGTTGAACATGGCCTGAGGCTGACGGAGCTCGGCCGCCGTTTGGTAGTAACGTGCCGCGCGCGAAAAGTCGACGGGGAGACCAGCGGTACCGTAATAATGAGCATCTCCCACTTTCAGGCTCGCTTCCGCGTTGCCTTGCCGCGAGGCGTGGCGATAATATCGGACTGCAAGCGCCTGGCAGGCTGTCGGAGAGAGCATCCCGCAGGTCCCCTCCTCCAAGAGAAGCGCGGCGTTGGACTGCGCGACTTCGTAGCCGATCTCAGCCAGGTGCATGTACAAGATTAGGGCGCCAAGGAGGTCCCCGCGCTTGTGCCGGGCAAGGGCCTTGCTCATGGCAGTGACCCAAGGTCCGCGCTCGGCGACGCTTTTGAAGGCGTGAACGGCCGTGGAGCAGGCGCGGGGCGTGGCGATGCCTTGGGCGGACATCTGGCCCAGCTTGTGCAAGGCGCCCATGTGCCCGGTCTGTGCGGCCAGGGAGAAGTATTTCAGAGCCTTCGCGAGGCTCCTGGTCCCCTTACGCTCCCCAAGTTCCTTTGCTGACGTAACGGATGCTGTCAAGCGACCCGACTTGCTTTCAATTCCCTTGTCTCCCTTTTTCTCCAATGTCTCTCTTGCGACCTTCTCAAAGTCGGCAGCCTGTAGGGTGATGTCTGCGAGCTTGTCGAACATTTCTTGGGGCAATCCCGCGAGCAAAGGGTCCTCTCTCAGTTCCTGTAAATGCTTCGCGGACAGTGAAATGGAGTCTGGTTCCTCCTCTCGGTCTGCGCGTGCATCCGACTCTCCTCCACTTGTCGATTTCCGGCTTCTGTCCCCCTCGCCTTGCTTCTCTTTTTCCTCCTCTTTCTCCCCTACAAGGCCTGCGTAGATCAAGCCCAGATTGTAGAAGGCCTCCGAGTATCCCTTCTCATGTGCTGCCCTTTGCAGGAGTTTGATCGCCTTCTCCACATTTTTTTCCACGCCCATTCCGTACATGTACATATGCCCCAGCCCGTTCAGACTGGCTGCGTCCCCTGACTCTTGTCCGCGCACAAAAAACCGACGAGCGGTCTCGTTGTTCTGCCGGACGCCCACCCCCAACAGGTACATGTGCCCTATGCTGCCCGCAGCCAGGGGATCCCCTGCCCGGGCGGCCTCCTCAAGAAATACGGCGGCCTTGGCCAGGTTTTGAGGCACTCCTTGGGAGCCATGGAAGTAGAGCTTGCCCAGAGCGACCTGCGCGCTCACGTCGCCTTTCTCGGCAGTGTGCTTGTAATAGTCGACCAGCTGCTGATCTGCCTCCATGGCCGCCTTTCGTTGAGATGTTACCCCCGCCAGGTTCCCGTCGAAGAGGCGCACCCGCTCATTGGGCGGCAACACCTTCAGCCTCCCCAACTCCTCCACGGCGACATTCGCGGCCACCTCGTAGTACAAGGCGGCCTTCTCACAATCTATAGCCACGCCATGTCCATACAAGTACCGGAACCCCATAGCCATGGATCCTGCAACGTCTCCCGCCATCGCAGCGAAGTGGTTAAGAAGCAAGGCTGCCGCCTCGCCGCCTGAGCCAATCTCCTCTGCCTCCGTGGCATCGGGGAGGGCGACGGGCAGTGACGGGGGCTCGCCGTATAGGCCCGTCACGTGGGCGACGGCCAAACGGTGTTGTGCGTGAGGATAGCCATACTTATGGGCGGCGCGTGCCAGGTAGTCTAGTCCTCGCGTCAAATTTCGAGCCACCGTCACGGACCCGTCCTCCCCTGCCACCCCTTCAGTAAAAACTCGCCCGACTTCACAGTAAGTCGGCCCGAATTGCTCCCAAGTGAACGATCGCGTAAGATTGTCTAAGTCGGCGTCCCCCTTTTTGGAACGCCCGAAGATAATGGCAAGGCGTTTGGCTTTGGCGAGATGGTCGAGGTTGTGGTGGCTCTCCTTCCCGGGCTTGTTCTTCTCCCCGCCAGCGGCTTTGGGGCCTTGGACAGGGCCGCCTTTGCCTCCAGGTCCATTTGAAGATATTGTGGTAGCCTTATCCTCGATGGTGGCAGCCGCATCGGTGGATGCGGTGGTGGAAAGCACACTAAATAGCAGAACAAGCATGAGAGCACGGACGACGGTCCTTTCACGCCTACAGCATCTCTCCGCGATGCCTGAGGTATGAAAACTAGGATCTACCTCCATTGCACTCGCAATTATCGTCAATGTGGACAGCACTTGCTATCATAAACTTGACCGGAACTGAGCGTGCGTGTTTTACTTTTTATTCTCAAGGAACCCTGTGTTTAAAAGCGATATGGGCAGATCAGCTTCCTTTTGAACAGACCGACGGCGACATTCCTATTTTTTGCGGGACTCCCTCAAACCACGTTGATGATGCAAATCGAAACCCCACGCCACGCATGACAGTATTGCTCACGCTGCCCGTCAATATCACATCAAATCGGCGGTAAAGGCTCGTAGTGTAAACCGGTGGCGTCTCTCGACTGCCTGATTGCTGCCCTTCATCCTCCTGCTCCCGTGCAAAGCGGATGACCCCAGAATCAGCCCCCCCCTCTGACCGCTTTGAATGGACGTGTGAAAGTATAGCTTTACCGCATGTCTCATCTCCAGCTTACTTGAAACGGTGTATTCTTGTAGGTAAGCCACGAACAAGGGACCGCGTACCCCTTCCTTGGAAAAAAACTCAAAATAAATCAGACTGCCCCCTGTGCACGACACACCTGTCTGTACTCTTTCCAGACCTTTTTTTCGGGAGAGCGACAGTCACTCTTCAAGGCAACATGGTTGTTGTGCAGACCAAAGTGAGATTGCGTGTACATTTGTACCGTGTATCCTCAAAATTGAAAGGTGGTATGCATAACGGATGTCGACTCAAACTTTACAAAAGTCATGGCACAGTATTTTTTAAACTCGGTGATGTGATGCTGTGGAAGTATGAAAAGCACATAATAGCTACAGCCTTATTGTCAGTTTCATATGCTGTGCCTTTCAGCGACCATTATCGTCCACGAGCGTCATTCAAAGTCCTATCTCTTCCTATCCAGATTTCTTCTCTTCAACTCCCCTTTCGCTCATTTTTGTGTCCAGCAAAACGAGCCATCACGTCCAAAGCCACCACTACCTGAGGCACAATGATACACAAGGCAAGACCGATGCGTACATTCTTATCCTCAAAAGTCGTTTTGCCCCACCGGGTAAAGAGCCCCGTTGATATGGCAAAACCTGAAGCAACCAGAGCCGCCTTGCCGAGCGTTTTATGGATCTTGGAGTTCCAATTAAACTTGATCTAAAATTGTGAACATAAGCCAAGTATATAAGCGGAAATATGTCATCGTGGATGTCCACGCACTTGTCCAGCCTGCCACACTCACCTCCTTTGTCCTGACATCGACGACATTGTAAAAAGCCGACGCGTAGCTGAGTAAGACTAGCACAAAGACTGAGGCTCCGACCATGCTGTGCGACGATGTAAAGTGTTCCTTGTTCAGGTTGTGCTTGTGCATGAAAATAGAGAGCAAGGCTGCAATCCAGCAAACAACAGCTAAGAACATTGAAGCGGCGTGAAGCTGGGTAAGGAGAATGCGCTTGGCCTTGATCATGGTTGTTCCCCGAGCCAGAATCAGGCTCCAAGAGAGCGGCGCGAAGAATAGCCAGGAAGTTACCATTAAAATAGGATGGTAGGCAAACAGCGGAAGAGATTTCAAGCTGTTGTGGGTGTGCTCATGTCAGTTCCTATCCACGCTATGCTGAATTAAATAGGCATAGGGCGGCTCTAAATCAGCACCATTTTGCCCAACAAATCGCTCCAGAGGTAAACTTCTACAAGACCGCTGATAAGTCTAGAGAAACTCACTCTTGAAATGTCTTTCCGCCTGAAGCTTTGAAGGTTTCCGACGCAATGTAGGCTCCTGCAGCGAATGTCAGGAGCAGGCTGGAGGCAACTGGGAGACGCACCATTGATCTTGTCTGATTTAAACCTAGCTTATAATGCATTCGGGGGATATCAGGCTTTGTTAGGTCACTTTGCGCAAGGAAGTGCGAAGACTGGCCCACTGGGTGGCTTGCGCTCGGGGTGCCGAGTGAAAAAGCCGTGCGGTGATGGGGAGGCTGGGCATGATCGTCATTCGCGCATTTTCTCCCTCCCTTGCGCTTTTGTGTGCGACCATACCATGCATAGCCGTCGAATGCGAAGGCCGACAGGGCAAGAGCTTTTGTGCTCCAGCGTTAATAGGAGGCTTTAATTGAAAGTGCGTATATGAGGCATTAAATACCTGCACCTGGAACGTTCTTCTTTGTCCCCAAATTTCGAACCACTCATCGATCTGAATCCCATTTGATTCATACATTCATGCGCTAACATGGCACAGGAAAACAATTGACTTGAAGTGCAACGAGGCACTCAACAAATGGGAACGGAAGTGCTACGATATTGAAAATGTTAGGACATTCCCTATCTAGCTTGATATTCGCATTGAAGGCACTGGGCAGTTAGAACTGAGAGCAGCATCTACTTCACTCTTATTCCGAGGATTCAGTGGCCTTGGAATAGGGCCTTGGATAAGGGGATAACCATCCACCTCAGATTTTTTTGACAGGAGTACAACAACATCTGTCTCTCCTCACATAGAAGAGCGGCAGTCGCGTAGGAGGATATCACTTCCTATCCCCTCGCGAACCAGCTTCAACCTTGAAGCATGGTGAACTTCACCGCAAAACTGCAGGACAATACACGGCAAGAATGGCTGGAGCATTACGTGGACTACAAAGCTCTAAAAAGGCTGCTCAAGCCGTTAAAAAAAGGTGCCCCTGCGAAAAGGGCGAGTATGATGACGTCTTACAACGGGGATGCGTCGGATTCGGATGAGGAGGCGACAGCGCCAGGGGACTTGGTGGGCGGGCTAAAGGATCGGCTCCACTTGCTGTCAATGGCGGGCAAGAGTTTAGGAAAACCATCGAAAACGGGCAGGAAAGGAGGTGCGGGTGAGAGTGCCTCTTTGCTTGCTTCCGAGGAAAAGCAACTTCGGAGTCGATTTTACGGGGGTGGTGGAGCGGCAATAACGAAGATGGCCGAGGAGGGACTAGCGACGCACGCAGAGGATGAGGAAGGGAGGGAGAACGAAGAAGAGCACGAGCATGGTTGTCTGACTCCGGACGAAGTCGGGCAACGCGAGGTGGACAGTCAGAGGTTTGAGGCGGTCCTGCTGACGGAGTTGGAGAAGGTGCAGCAGTTCTACGCGGAGACGATCACGGACCTGGGGCAGCAACTAGGCTTTCTCAAGGCCCAGTTACGAGGAGACGGAAACAAGGGGTCGCAGCTGGCCTTGGAGGACTTGACGTCGTGGGCTCATCCAATGAGCGAGGAGGACAAGAGGAGGGCCAAGCACCTGGCGCCCAAGGAAAGGGAGCTGATTGAGACCACCCTGATGCGCCTGAATCGGGAGCTCACACTGCTGGAAAATTTTTGCATCATCAACTACACGGGGTTTATAAAAATTCTGAAGAAGCACGACAAATTGATGCCCTCCCGGCCACTGCGTGCCTCGGTGCTTCCCCAGCTGGAAAAGGCGCAGTTCTTCCGACACGCGCGCCTGGAGGACATCAAGCTGGAGGTAACGACCATTTTTGCCGACGTCTTTTGTAACAAGGATAAGAATCAAGCGGCGGCAATGTTGCTACCGAAGCGGTTCCGGACAAATGTGGATTTCTTCCTCCTACAATTAGGCTACAAGCTAGGTAAGACGCCTTCCCTTCTCCTCCCCACGCCACCTGGCCTAAGCTTCCCTCCCGTACTCCTCTATTTTTCTTCTCCTCCAGGTGTAGCCGCTACCCTCGCACTTTGGGTAGTGTGGGACTGTGTGGTGCAAGTAGCCAAGTTCGGCAAACCCACCATCGTGACAAAGATGGCTTTCCCCGTCTTTCGGGCCGTCGGGGGCCTGCTCCTCTTGCACTGGTGCTGGGGCATCATCGAGCATTTCTGCAACTACCTTCGGATCAATTTTGTGTACCTGCTCGACCTCTCTCCGAAGAATGTGTCTTCTCCCAGGAAGATCTTCGACGAGGCTGTGAACGAGTCCATCGTCTACCTAACCTGCATGCTACTTTACTACAAGGTCCTGGTGGGGGGCTTCCCAGATTGGATCCCTGCCGGCTTCTACCCCATTTTCCTTCTCGTGTACACACTCTACTGCCTTGTTTTCCCGTGGAAGCAGCGGAAAGGGATATGGTGGATCGTGGGCAGGGTGGTGGTGGCCCCCCTTGTCAGCGTGACGCTGCTGGATACCGTCGTGGCAGACGTGCTCACTTCCTTGGTCAAGGTCCTGCTGGATCTGGCCTGGTCCGCCTTCTACGTGATCTCGGGCGACTTTACAAGAGACATCAGAGGGGCCCCGGACGAGGTCCCGTCTTGGGAGCTTAGCGTGCTGTACAGCAAGGTGCTGGCCCCTGTGATAGTGATCTTGCCCTACTGGTGGCGATTCATGCAGTGCTTGCGTCGCTTCTACGACACGGGAAACCGGTGGCCACACCTGCTAAATGCGACCAAGTACGCTATGGCACAGACAGTGACCCTTTTCGGCGCCTTCCACCACGTGTACTACCACGTGCGCGGGGGAAAGGGTGGCCGGGTGCATCCGAGTCTCACGTACGACGTCGTGTGGGTGATGGTGACAGTAATCTCCACCTTCTACTCCTATGTGTGGGACGTGACCATGGACTGGGGTTTGGGTCGACCCAGCAAGGGGTTTCTGAACGACCGGCGCATGTGCTCGAGTAACGTGCCGTACTACTCCGCCATGGTTGCCGATTTATTCTTGCGCTTCCTGTGGGTGAACACCTTGATCCCGCCCGGCTCGGGAGGCCTTTTTTCTCTGCCGCTTTACCTAAATGCCTTCTTGATGGTAATGGAAATCTTACGACGGATGTTTTGGGGCGTCTTCCGCTTAGAGAACGAGCAGTTGCGCAACACGCAGGGATTCCGAAGAGTTGATGTCATTCCTCTGTCCTTCTCGACGGAGAACCAGCACGAGTACAGGGACCCGAAAAACACCAACAACCTGAGGGTTATTTTGGAAGTGTCTTTTGTGGCAGGACTGGTCATATTTTTGTCCATCGGTGCGGTGGTAGTCGCTGACGGCATAGATGAAGGGGTTTAGAGAGGGCGAAAAAGGCGGATAGAGGGAGAAGGAGTTAGTAGACCAGGACAGGGATCCCTTGGCCTCCATGTCTGTGTGGTCACCGCAGCACATCGATGTCAAAAGCTGCGAAGTAATGAGGCCAACGAAAAGA